CCGCGGCCCGGCCGAGCGCGCGGCCCCGCGGAGGAGCCGCGGGCGGAGGAGCGGGAGCAGCGCCCGCCCGGCCCCGAGGCGGCGGGGCCGGTGAAGAGGAAGCAGCGGCGGTACCGCACCACGTTCAGCACGTTCCAGCTGGAGGAGCTGGAGCGCGCCTTCTGCAAGTCGCACTACCCCGACGTGTTCACCAGGTAGCGGCGGGCGGGGCGGGCGCGGGGCGCCGGGCGGCGGGCGAGCCCCGGTCTAACCCAGCGCTCTTCCCGCAGAGAGGAGCTGGCCCTGCGCCTCGACCTGACGGAAGCCCGGGTGCAGGTGAGTGCCGCAGGGGCCGAGGGGCAGGAGGGGGTTGAGCACAGCGCGATTTCCCTCGGGCTCGGCCGGGCGGGAAGGGAAGAGCGGCGGGGCCGGGCGCGTCCCGTCCGCCCGGGTGGTGCTGAAGGGACGGAGCAAGCGGCGCTCAGGGACATTCCCGTGCACTGTGCTGCCGCCTTCATGGGTCGAAAGGCAGGAATAAAAAAGGGTAAATTAGGTTGTTTACAGAAAATGAGGGGTTCTGTGGGGTATTCGAAGTTATTTACTGAGGCTGCAGAGTTAGCATCCTTCTCTTGGTCTAATTAGTTCAATAAAACTTAAAATGCTTCTAAATGACCGGTTAAAACAAATGAAAGATGAATTTGACATTCATATATGACAGTGAGGTCCTGTCCCGGAGAATTTTATGTCCAGCAATGCCTGTAGAACTTCAGCATACTTAGACAGACACTAATCCCTTGCAGGCTGCAGTTTGCTTAAACTATAAACGAACTCTTAGTAACTTTTTCTGACTCTATGCACTCCTCCTTAATAATATCCCTTAAAAACCCTTTTCTTTAGATTCATCTATTGATAACCTAGAAATCCCCTTTTTATACAGAAATTATAGCCTAAAAAAAAATAAAAAATTGTTTCAAAAAGTGTGAAGGCTTTCAAGTATTTCTAAGCTGCAAATGACAATTGTACTAAATTTGGCTTGTGCTGTAGATCAGATATTGACTGTTCCAGCACAACTCTGGGTATGTGCCTGCTTGTGAAAGACTGAGAACTGGTGCAGCTGCTCAGTGTGACAGTCCTGCTTACTACTGCATAGCTTTGATACTGATAATGCCAGATCCTTCTTTGTGTACTTTGTCATTACTCCAGTCTCTGGATCTGCGATGGCTCACACCACAGTTACAGTCTGTAAAACTGTAACTTTCTTAGCTTTTTATTTTAATATGCACCATCTTCAAAAAAGGCATTAGAAGTATGAATGGTACTATATAATTGACTCAAAGAACACCTAGATGAGCTTTTTAGCTCTCTTTTGTGGACTTGGGGGAAATTATGAATCCTCCACTCTTCCTAACACCAACAACTACTAAAACCTCCAGTCACTGACATGCCTCAGTCACTGACAATTGCACATGGCATCTAACAATGAAAAAGTGGGTGAAAAGTTGTTACTTTAACTTTTACTATCAAATTCCCTTTGTGGGGTACATACTCTGTAGACCCTGTGAAGCAATGGTGCAATGGTACATGGCAAAGAGAAACTCATCTCCTAATGACTCATCTAGGGGAAAACAAAAAACCCGAAACATTTGTGTTTGGTGGAGCCAAAAAGGAATTAACAAGAAAATTAACAAGAGTTGATGCATCCGCAGGGGATGGAAGGAACAGCAAAGAGCTGTTCCTGGTGCGTCCTTGCCTCCTTAATCTGTTAGGTCTCAACACAAGTCTCCTGAGCGTGGGGCACAGAGTCAGCACAGCTGTTCAGTGTGAGCCTGCAGTGCACAGAGCCAAGCCCCAGTTCCTGCCCTGTGGGAAACTGGGCTCAGCCTGGAGGGAAGGGGATGTGGAGGAATGACAGTGATGTACTGTACTTAAACCACCATAATTACCAAACACTTTGTCCATGCTCACGGTTGCTCTGTAGGGCAGCCTGTGTGAAATGAAGACTTCCAATCCTCTCCCATGGTACCTGGCTAAATCAGCTGACATGGAAAGTGGCATCTCTTTACTTAGTCAAGTGCAAACTCAAGAAATTAATCTTACCCAATGCAGTCAGACCATTTCTTCACCTCAGTGTGCTTTACAAATGGAGGTTTGCTTGTCTGGGGAGAAACCAGCGGAAATGGGTACCAGCCACCCTCCATTGTTCCTCCTCTGGCCTTTGAGTCTCACATAAAAATGAACAAATAAGAAAAAAAACTGGCATGAATATATGCTCATTCCATCATCATTTCAAAGAGCTCTCCCTCATCCAACACCCCCCTTATTTACTTTTATAGAATAAGGGAGAATTCCTTCCCAATAAGATTCCTTACCTTGGGAAAGAGGCAGTCAGAGAGTCTGCAAAATCTTTTCATAGCCTGGACCCATGTTGGAATTGCTCTTCAATAGCATTTGCATCTGTTGTTGCCATTCATGTTTCTCATTATTCACATTGTTAGGATAAGAAGAAAATAAGAAGTTAAAGGAATCTTTTATCTTCTTTAATGTGAGGGGTAAAAGGTTTCATGGGTATTTCATTGCCATAAACTGCATCAGTTTTAAAACATTGGCTTACAGATATAACTGATCAAGAAATCCTTGTCATATTTTCTCATTACAATCTTCTTATTCACTTACAGCAGAAACATGATACAGTTATGCATATCTACGTATCTTTCTAGCATCATTAGGTATTACATCAATTAAATAGGATACATTTTTACTGAAAATTACAGCAAGAAAGCAATCAAATTTTACATGCTCACATTTTCCTTTATAAAAGACCTGAATCACTTGTCAGACATGCATGATGCTACTAATTGCAAATATAATCTGGGTAATATTTAGCATGCAATTCAAAACTTGATGGTTTAAAACTCATTCTTGAGTATTAAATAAACCTTTTTTTCTAGAGTATTTTTCCATTGATATTACAGTCATAAAAATCTTAAGACTGGTAGAGCAGTTTCTGTTATGGTTAGCTTGTCACTTCAGAAGTGTCTGAAAATAGAATAAAGGCAAGTTAATGCTTTTATTGGAAGCAAAGGAAAACTGCTTAACAAATTGTTCAAGTTGACTTATCTGAATGTTAATGACTATAATGTGTGCAGTTAATTTTAAAAGCTGTTTGTCGTGTCTGTCTAAGGTATGAGGCATTGGTCTACTCCTGTTACCACTTGAACTGATGGGCTTGTACCAAAAAGGAATGGAAAGCCAGCTTTTTCCTAATTATTAGATGTCTGTGCTGGTATTTCCTTCCAGTTTCAGAAATACAAAATCTGAGAGACAATTAAATTTTGGAGTTAAGCCCAAAATTACCTGTAACATTAAAAAAAAATTGTAGTCAAAGTGCATGTCTGAGTGATCAAATGGATTTGCTTGAGGATGGAGAAAGCAGAAAAGCAGACGTTTAATTTTGTGTCAGGCTTCTTTAGGAAGAACAGATTGAGGAACAGTGCTAAGATTTAGTAAGGACATGAATACCTTGCAGCATCTATCCTTTTTAGGAAAGGCTGTATCTGCATATGTCAGTGTGAGACGTTATTGCCTTTTCAACTGGATATTTTTCATAGAAAACACTAAGCCTTTGAGTTGGTGGTCTTCTCCTGTGAGATCTTAGGTAAGCTCCACTTACAAATATTTGAGATTACTGATTAACAAGGATTTAAATGAATCTGATGCCAGTAATTTAGTTTTCTTACCAGACCCTTGTTTTGCACTAACACTGATGGAGTATCTCGTCCTCACTGCCATGCAGGCACAGCTGCCTGGCATTTCACAGGTTCAGATATCCCTTTGTAAGACATCTTGAAAGCTGATGGCTCCTAGAGGAAAAACCAAAGTATGAGTCTTGCCACTCAAGAATTTCAAGTACCAACTTCAAAATTTTGATGTTCTGATTTTCTGCTGAGTGCACTCCCTCTGCTGACTACCTGTGAGTGAGACAGTTCTGTGTTACACACAAAACCTGAGGGTGCAAATCCCTCTGCAGGAGAACAGCAGCTTTCCAGTGTAAATATACTGCATGCAATGGAAGGACCAGCACAGTACTGCTCCAGCTGGATCCTGAGAACCCCAGAGCAAGGGCTTTGAAAGAGTCAGTTGTGTCTCTGTCAATTGGCAGAGAGAAACAACATCAGGCTCGGGACAGCAAGGCTGGGGTGTGCTGCAGCCTTGTGTGGGGATCAGGACTGGGTGAGTGCAGGGCTTTTCTCCCAAACACACTTTGTGACATTCAAGCACCTGAAGGTAAGTTACACTGCTGGAAATGGTCATAGGGCATGGCTGAGGTAAAGCAAGCTGAGTCCCTCAAAACCTGTTTTTTAAATACTGTAGATGCTATTTAAAACTTTTGGAAAACAATTTTTGCACTGTATTATAATTGCCACCTCTTGAATGGCTTTGTTGAAATTTAACTTTCAATAAATAGCTTATGAAAGGAAGAATGATAATTTTTAATAATTGCTCTTGCATTTCAGATGGTAGGTTAATATATGACACTGGCTTTAAAACATATGTGACTCTTCAGTCAAAGAGCAGTCAAATTTACAATATTGAAAAGTGATTTATTTTGTAATAAACCCACTAAGGCCTTTATGAAAAGATCTTTTATGTTAAGGAAGTGGGGTTTGGTTTAACAGTAATTATTTTTCCATCCATATCAATACATGCTGTAATAGCTGGTAAGACAAACTGCAGAGTAAATTCAGCTAATGCCTTTATAATTTCTTATTGAAGGTCTGGTTCCAAAACAGAAGAGCAAAGTGGAGGAAACGTGAAAAAAATGAAATTCTGGGGACTGTTCCAGGAATCTCCTTAACACACCCCCTTGGTCTCTTTTTGGATGTTCCACTGAGTCATTCTCCCCTCCTAGATCACACATGGAGGTCAATGCCTCTTTCAACACTGGCTGTGCCATCCATGTCCCCAGCTTTCAGTCCTTCAACCTTAGGGCCATTTGGCCTCAGCAGTCTTACCTGGACTTCTCTCTTCAGAAATCCCATATTAAATCCACATTTTGGAAGGTATAGAATAATTTTATTTTCTCTAAATTTTAAAGCTGTTAAAAATGCTGCTTTTATATTATTTTGCTACTGCATGTTCTCAATAAACTCACTAAAATAGGTTAGTTCCTGTGTAGGATCACTTGATTAGGAATAGCTAGATTTGGGTTTAAGTCATGCTAATAAAATCTTAATGTGTAATTGCTTTTTGAGGACAAATTGTGCATACTTACTGCAATTTTGGTCTCACTGAACTCTACTCTTCATACAGACTGCTGTGACCTCTGTGGCTGCAGCTCCATCCTTCTCCCTCACTCTCTCAAGTATAAATACATTATATATAAAATACGTAAATACATTCTATATTGTATGTAAGTATATACATATATAGAAAAAAACAGAAGACAGCACTCTTGCTGAAATTGGAGCTTGTATCTTAGTACTACATTAACAGACAAACAAATGCTTTTCACATGGAATCAATTGATCTGAACAAATTGTCTGCATAAACAGCAATATAAATTGGCCTTTTTATGAGGTGGTTTATTGCTTTCACAGAACAGGCTGATCTACAGCATCCAAGGTTTGTTTAGAAAGAGTTTCACATGAGGGGTTAAGCAAGTGGTTGCTGGTTTAGATATCTGCATGCCATGTCTGGTCATCTCTTGCTCATTTTATTTAAAAGTGTTTCAGTTTTTTATTTAGGGTGGGGTTTTCTGCTTGGGTTTTTTGGTTTGTTTTTTGGTTTGTTTTTTTTTACTGGCAAGACACTATACTGCAGAATAAAGCTTAAAAAATGTACATTTGGAAGAAATTGGGAATTTTGGAACTTTTTTTCCTAATACTTTGTTGGGGGAAGCTGCAACTCAGTAAGTATTTGTTCTCCAAAACAATTCTTAATTTGGGTAATATTGACTTCTTTCAAATACAGGTTTCTCAATGCTTTAAATCCTCTCGTGACAACAGCTTCAGTACTAATGAAAGCTCCTGGACCCCCGTCAGACCCTGTTCTCACTGCCTTCACTGATCCAGCAGCAGTTGAAAGGAAAACGTCAAGCATTGCAGCACTAAGACTCAAAGCGAAAGAACATTCAGCACAAATCCCTCAATTAAACCTCATCTCCAGTCTTACAAACACTAACAAAGAACTTTGTTAGGAGCTCTCCCACAGACTACAGCCACGGAGGGGAAAGTGAATGCCTTCTCCAATAAGTAGCTCTCATTAGAGAGACACATTTGAAAAAAGAAAACACACACACACACACACAGAGCTGTATTTCCTGCAGCTTCGGTAACAGACTGAAAGGAAATAAACCTGCTAAATATTGTTTTCCTTTATTACAACATGAAATCAGGCAGTAAATTGGCTTGTATAATTTCTTGCACTGCAGAAACAGAAGCAGGAACTATCTCATCTGTGTAAATCAGGCTAACATGTATCTGAAGCTTTGAAATCACCGAACTCACCAGAAGCTAGTCCAAAGGCTCGAAATTCTTTGTAGGAATAACCACTTTTCTAAGCAATTCTTAACTTCTCAGGAGGAACTCTTACATGCAGTACTTGAGAATCAGTACACAGTTATTAACTTGGAGACCATGCTTCATGTTGAAGTGCAAATGCCAGTGAAATATTGCATTCTAGACAGACTTAGCAGGAACGAGATGGGGACTATTTTCAGTATGGGCTTTTGATTCAGATATAGGTTAGTGAAAAGAGTACCTTGTCTCAAATTTTTAAAAAGTGCTTTATGTTCAGGGTGTCAATGTCTTAACTAAGAAAGTTTAACCTCTGTACATGAACTGTATCCTGTGAAAGTAGGTTAGCAGTGTGCAGTAAATTGTCTGTAGGTCTCTGTGTATGTATATACATGTCAATCAGTAGTTTATAGCTGTAAATATGAGGTTGCTGAATACTTTTAGCAAGATTTCTGGCACATCTTCCCAGGCCAGTAAGTTAACAGATTATTTGTATATTTTGAGACATTTCATGCTTTGAGTAGTGTCAGAATGTAAATGAGTATTCAATGCGAAGTGTTAAATTCTTCCTTGGACCAATGTTGAAATGAGTGAAAACAGAGGCCTTACTGAGCAGCAGTCTACAGTCCATCACAATCCTGGACTCCATGACAGTTCATTCTTAAGTCTTTGCTGAACTTCCCCATCCAGGACCAGAGGCAAGTAACTTCATTCATGTGCTTGACAGCTCCTGCCAGAGCTGGGAGCTGCCACCTCCACCCAGCACACTGAGCCACCCCAGCACGAGTGTGGGAACTGCAGGGTTGGACAGCAGGGTTGGCTCCCAGGACTTGGAATTGAGAACAACTTTCCACAGGTCTGATGCTTTAGTATAAAGTGAGGATCTGTAGCATCCTCCTGGTGCTGTAGTGAAAAGTGAGGACAGGTCATCATATGCTCCTTTTGCAGCTCACTCGCCTACCTCACAGGGCTGTTGTGAGGAGTCATTAAACAAACACGACACTGTACAAATGGAAGAGTTATACAAGTGCTAATTTTTGCTTCACAGCAACAAAAGAAAGGCCAATAGTTGGCTGCACATGGAGATCACCTTTCCCACACCTGCAGCAGAGGTCCAAGCAAAATCTGTTCCTGTGGTTGATGGGACAGCATGGGACTCCTCCACTGATGCTGCCTGTTTTCTCAAAACTGTCCTCAAACACATTTACACTGAAAAGATTTTGTGTATTTCAGAACTTCTTTCTCAAGGCAGCTCTAGGCCTACTCTTAAGACTCCACAGTTGAGTTCTCAGCTAGAGTTTGAGGTGCAGAGCTCCAGCTACATCACTGCTGCTTCTGGAGACTGCACCAAGCTTGTTCTTAGCTCCAGGACAGAGAAGGAAGTTTGCTGGGTCAAAGACAAATACTCATCACTTTGCACTAGAGTGGAAGTATTTCTGTTGGCTTACAGACCTCACTGGTAGCACAGGCAGGAGAAGGTGGTGGTATTTCAGCTGTTGGGAAAAGCCAGCTCCCTACTGGAGTTACAGCAGGGCTGCACTGTGTGTCAAGCAGCAGCAGACTGCGGAAGCGAAGTGAGCAGAACCTCTCACACAAAGTTTGAGTGTGTTTCTTCCACAACAGCTATTGGCTTCCACCAGTCCATTCTCATGGCCCAGGCTGCCAACTGGCAGCACAACACGGTATCCACTCAAGTGTTGAGTTTGTTCCAAATAAACCTTTAAAGTAGGTTAATGGCTTGAAAACTGTCATTACACAACTCCTGTTCTGTACCAGCTTCTGTGGTATCTTTCCTTGCCACAAGTGTCTCTCTCTTGCACTGCAGAGAGGTTCTGCAGGAAAGAAGACTCACTGTTTCATTTAAAGTAGCAGAAACTGTCCTGCATTTGCCATAAGTCATTAAGAAAATAACTGCAATAATAATAAAACCTGGGTATTTTTGCCAAATCCTATTCCTAGACAAGTTCACCAGAAGCAGCATGTGAAAAATAAGAGCTGAAGGCTGATGTAATACATTGCATGAAATAGTAGGCCCTGTGTTATCACCAAAGTCTTCATCACTGACCAGAGGGCCGCAGATATCTCACTCAGGTATGGGGGAATCAAATTCACAAGCTAAATTTCAGCAGTTACATTGGAGGTAACATTAATCTATCAACAAAATTATGGTTAGAAATAATTTCAGGGACAGCAATTAAACACACAGAGGCAAGTAACTTCATTCATGTGCATGACAGCTCCTGCCAGAGCTGGGAGCTGCCACCTCCACCCAGCACACTGAGCCACTCCAGCGCGAGTCTGGGAACTGCAGGGCTGGCCAGCAGGGTTGGCTCCCAAAGCCTTGCCAGTTTGGGTGTTGCTCTGTCCTAATTCTCCTTACAAGAGGGCATGCTTCTCCCAGACACCCTCCTCTCCTGCTGAGACCACAGCCTGCTGGGTACCACTCCCCTGCCAGCTGTGGACTCTCCCCAGTGTCACACTTGGGCCAGGACTGTCTCCTTTGGGGCACACTTCTGCATGGCTCTGCAGCCTCAAGCTACTGTGCCCAGACACATGGCAGAACAGCAAAGGTAAGTGCATTGCCTGTTCTGTTGCTGGTTAAGGAGAAGCTGTCATCCCTGTGCCGTCTGGGCAGAAGCCAGTGTCTGCAATCATCAGCAGTTCCCAATGGGTATAGGTAGAGAACACAGCTTCCTGATGTTTCAGATGGGTTTACTTTGAAATTAAGAGCTTTTCTTTAAGGTGATTTCATTTTTTCTGCTTTAATGAGTCCTTCCAAGAAACTTCCATTCTTCCATGTGATTTGAAATCCAGCTGTGAGAGCTAATGGTATTATGAAAATAAATATGCAGGGTAACACTCGAAATCAGCTTAGGAACCACAGAGTGCTCATAACCAAAACCCAGAAAGTTTTATGTGTTAATTATTACTACCTTAAAATGAAATATCACACCAAGGGAAGAAGGCTTATTTATTCAATCTCTTTAGATTTTAAATAAAGAGGCTTAATTACCAGCTTTTATGGATATAGTATTAAAATTACATTTTAAAAAATTTTGGAGAGCTATTAATTGAAAAACCTTCAGCCTAGTTTCATAGCTGCACATGGGGTCAACTATTTGCTATTAATCAAGCAGGAACATTTGCTTTCCTAGACTTTCTCAGGACAATGGAGTCTGCAGCCTCCCCTATCCTGAACGATTCAGCCATTTTATAGAGCATGTCTCACACTAAACATTGCAATTATTTCCTGACATTTTATCTTGCCTTGTGCAATAAATTATTTAGTCCTAATTTAGGCAAAGCCTGGACTGACCTGGATTGAGACTGCAGGATATGTCCCTATGATTCTCTTCTGAATAAAGAAAGGTTGCAGCCTAAATCTTCTAATCTTCTCTGGGTGACATCAAGATTGTTTCCTGGCACAGATTTCAACTGAAGCAGGACTGAAGCCCTGGTTGTTTTATTGGGTTTAACTGATTTTCCTGAAAGCAAAAATACATGGGAGGATTTCCAAAGCCACAGAGAAATTTGAATACAATCCCACCCCAGCCATCTTCTGCAACTACTGAGGAAAAAACTCTTATCTTCAAATTAAACTTCTTGACTTTACTCTCCACAAGTTTTTGAGGTGCTTTGCTGGAAGACCCTGCAAGCATATTAGTATCTCTTCAGAAAACATTGATAAATACTTCCATTGGAGGACTCACATTTGGCTAAATTGTCAAATTTTTTTTTCAGTTTGTTCTCTGGTTCAAGTTCAGTTCTGGTGCCATAGGATGTTGGATAAATTTCCGTATTTCCAGTGACATTATATCATCAGAACCTTGCCTACAAAGAGTGAGCGATTTTGTTGGGGGGGAAAAAAAAGGAGAATAATAGGCCAGGTGTTTGAAGAAAAGACAAAGAAACAAGCACAGTAGGGTGTTCTGACTCACAAATCTGTATTGAGAAAGAAGTATTCATGAAGAAAATTAATTTAAGAAGTATGTAGTTCAGGTTTTGAGCCCATAAGTTCCTTTCAAAAACAGATTAGTGATTAAAAACTTTTTTTAGTCTAGCAATCTCTTAAACAATTAGCACAGTAATTGGAAAGGGACTACAAATTCAAATCTAGATGGACATAAAAGACTTTCCCCATAGAGCTTTGCCTTGGTTTTGTGGGTAACTGGCACGCACCTGCCTTTACCATCAGTGGGACTGAAATACTGAAGAAGTGCTCTGAATAGGGATACAAATGCCCCAAACAGTAATGCCATACAAATTACTTAATTCATGTAAAGTAGAAGTAATTGTATTGATTATGAATGTGTGAGTGACTCCTTTATTTCAGGTTATATGAGATGTAAGCCAGCAGCTTTCAATGGGGTCCTTGCTGCAAATTTGCCAACCATAGAGTGGGATGTTACTTTTTTGCTTAGTTTGAGGAATAAGTACAATGCACTGCCATTTGGAAGCAGATATCTGCTGAATTTAAGCTAAACCAGGTAAATAAGGATTTCTCTCCTCCAGTCAGGCATTAGTTTTGCTCTGCTTGTGCATCCTGGGAAAGATGCCTGAAATCAAAGAAAAAGGAACATAAGGGAGAAACATCCCCAAACTTCAGATGTTTTTCCTCACAGTAGAACCTTTTTTTCCCTTTTTGATATTATTGTCATAAAACACCATGGATCACTAGATAAAACCTATAC